AATATAATATAATATAATATAATATAATATAATATAATATAATATAATATAATATAATAAAATATAAATTTATATTAATATCTATAATTAATTTAATAACAAACTCATATCTCTTCTAATCCTTTGCAGCTCTGACAGGCCTGGGTGCCGCTCAGCAAAATAATTCATCGCAGGACACAACGAACGCCGCTGCTGGTCTATTGAATCCGCTTTCTGTACAGAACTTGGCAGCCATTGCCGCCATGACGCAACCGAGCCTGACCAATGCGGCAACTTCGCCAGGCAGCGCACAGTTGACAAATACAGCGGCACTTTTATGTAAGTCTACTAATACATACACACATATACACACCCACACACACAGACTTGGAAGAAACCCTTCACTAATCAGCTGAATTCGTTATTTTTTAAACGGAATTGAGCTGCTCTAATTGCACCCCACTCAGGGAATGGATTTGTGTCTGAATTTTGACAGCTGCCAAGTAAAAATTTCCGTGGAAATCTTTCCACTTGAGGCTCAATTTTTACGCTTCGCTTTGAAGCTCTTTTCAACACTGTTTCTCTTTCGATTACCAATTATTTTTGTTCCCACTCCCCTAATTTGTTGAGTTCCGTTTCTTGTTGTCTTGGTAATCGGGTTTAATGACTGGGCTAATTACATTCAGCTCTTCTGTTTTATTTTGTTGACAGTTGATATTGGGGCTTCATGGTTTATTTTTACAAAGACTTAATGGGTTCTTGAATTTTTGATATATCTATATATACATTGATTTCTTAGAAATGCAGAACATTGATTTACTTTTCTCTCCTACCCCAGATAAGTAAGCTTATTTTACTTTTAATTATGGAATTTTAATTGAAAAGATTATTATTTATTCTTCTTCTGGTTTCAACAGCTTCAAATATTCCCATAATTATTTCAGTTGAGTGAAGCCGATTAATTAATTGCTTGTGCTGTAAGCCAAAGCAGCTTAGACTTTAAAATAATACCGTTAAAACTAATAATATATTATTCCTATTCTTGTTTTAACACGCTAACAAATTTATGTGGGATATTGTATGATAAAATATATGCGCATATTATATATACAGCAGCTCTGATACGAAAAAAGGCGGCTGCTAAAACAACAGGTGAGAGAGAGAGCTGTTTATCATGAAAACGTTTTTCTGTTGCCTGATTTTGACATACTTCAGTTACGCTTTTCGCTTGCCATTTTCGGTTGTGAACTTTGTAGATTTTCTCTTCTTCTTTTTTTACGTTTTTATCGTTATATGAAATGAAAAAGAATCATATTAATAATGGTTATTTTACTTGACATTTAAAGCAAACGAAGCGTCACTTACGCTCTGCAGCGCTCACGTGGCTGCTGTTTTACGTCGTCGTTTACGTCACGCGCTGTAGTTGATGGCTGTAAAACAGCAGCAGAAGCAGCAGCAGCAGGAGCTGGGAGCAGTTGCTGCAACAGCCAAGCGCGAAGCCGTAGAACGTGGAGCGTACAAAATTACAAGTTACACTCTCTTCAGAAATTAACAACACGGAACTTATTGCAACAGAGTAGCGGCAGCAGCAGTAGCAGCAGCAGGACTTGAGCGGGTAGTGGGGCGCATCAAGAACTTTGGCCTTATTGACTTTTAGCCGCGTTTCGCTTTAGAGCAAATTGCAATGCTTCAGCATCACTTGTGCGACTCCCCAGTTAAGAATTTTCTATCTGTCACGTGGCGCAGGCTTATAGACCAGACCAGAACAGACTCAACCAGAGACAGACCGACAGTATAAAGTAGCAGCAACAGCTCCCTCAACAGGGCAGCGCAATAAAAACGAATGTGGCTGCACTACAAGTTGCAGAAAGAATTATGGCCAACAACTGG